TGATCTCCTAGTTGTAAGATCAAGCCCCATGTCGGGCTCCATGCTGGGTGTGGAGCCTGCTTAGGATTCTCTCTCTCCTCCTCTCCCTCTGCTCCTCCCCCCCAGCATACGCACTCTCTCTATAAATGAATGAATGAATGAATGAATGAATGAATGAATGAATGAATGAATGAATGAGTGGTATAAAATTGTATGATCCTTTTCCTCAGATTGGCACATGCAAATAGGAGTCTTTTTTTTTCTCTCTTGCTGTATGCCCTAGGAGCCATTTTTGATCTATGGAGTCAGAGTCAGAGTCAGGCAGGCTTGCATCAGAAAGATTCCAAGCCTCTTCACCACAGCTCCCAAAGCAGTGTTCCTCAAAGTGTATGTAGTCCCTGGAGCAGCAGCATCAGTATCACCTGGGAATTTGTTAGAAATGCAAACTCACAGTATCCTCCTTTCCACTAGACCTAATGAATCAAACTGGAATGTGTTTAGCAATCCATGAAAGCCACTGCCCTAAGGCATTTTCTACCCCAAACTGCATTATCTCCAAACCTTGAAGCAGCTGGAAAGGTAAAGGAAAAATTGATTTGAGCAGGAAAATATGGGCATGGCAATGAAATGAATTACTTAATTGTAAAGGTCTTGTTTAGGGTATTTGTGCTTAGCGATATCAGATCTTTAAACAGCAACTCTCCTGAAAATGGCTAGAAATACTGAACACAAACACAATTACAACACTCAACCATATATGTATGCATATGCATTTTATGTGTGTATATGCATGTAAATATATATGTATGCAAATATGCATATATGTATATAATTACATATTTAATTAAATAATTAAATTGATTAAATTAAAATAGTCTTTAGAAAAGAACAGAATATAGCATTATCAGCAATGAAATTGAATCAGTAATCAAAAAACTCCCTCCCCAAAAAGTCCAGGACCAGACAGCTTTTTTTTTTTAAAGATTTATTTATTTATTTATTTGAGAGAGAGAATGAGAGAGAGAGAGCACATGAGAGGGGGGAGGGTCAGAGGGAGAAACAGACTCCCTGCTGAGCAGGGAGCCCGATGTGGGACTCCATCCTGGGACTCCAGGATCATGACCTGAGCCGAAGGCAGTCGCTTAACCAACTGAGCCACCCAGGCGCCCTTTTTTTTTTTAATGTTTTATTTATTTATTCATGAAAGTCAAGAGAGAGAGAGAGAGGCAGAGGCAGAGGGAGAAGCAGGCTCCCTGCCCAGCAGGGAGCCCGATGCGGGACTCGATCCCAGGACCCTGGGATCATGACCTGAGCCGAAGGCAGACGCTTAACCATCTGAGCCACCCAGGCGCCCCAGACAGCTTTTTCTAGATATGTCTCCTGAGGCAAGGGAAACAAAAACAAAAAAAACTATGGGACTACATCAAAATAAAAAAGCTCTGCACAGTGAAGGAAACAATCAACAGAACTAAAAGTCAACCTACTGAATGGGAGAAGATATGGGCAAATGACATATCTGATAAAGGGTTAGTATCCAAAATATATAAAGAACTTACACAGCTCAACACTGAAACCAAAACAATCCAATTTTAAAAATTGGCAGAAGACATGAACAGACATTCAAAGAGGATATCCAGATAGCCAACAGACAAAGGAAAAGATGCTCATCATCATTCATCATCACGGAAGTGCAAATTAAACTAAATGAGATGTCACCCCACACCTGTCAGAATGGCTAAAATCAACAACACAAGAAATAATAGGTGTTGGCAAGGATGTGGAGAAAGGGGAACCCACTTGCTCTGTTGGTGGGAATGCAAACTTGTACAGCCACTGTGGAAAACAGTATGGAGTTTCCTCAGAAAATTAAAAGTAGTACCCTACAGTCCGGCAGTTGCCCTACTAGGTATTTACCCAAAGCATACAAAATACTAATTCAAAGGGATACATGCACCCCTATGTTTATAGTAGCATTATCTACAATAGCCAAATTATGGAAACAGCCCAAGTGTCCAACGATTGCTGAATGGATAAAGATGTGGTATATATAAACAATGGAATATTACTCAGCCATAAAAAGAAATCTTGCCATTTGCAATGACATGGATTAAGCTAGAGTATAAGGTTAAGCAAAATAAGTCAGAGAAAGACAAATACTGTATGATCTCACTCAAAAGTGGAATTTAACAACAACAACAACAACAACAACAACAACAAAAACAAGAATAGGAAAAGAGAGAGGGAGAGACAAGCCAAGAAACAGACTCTTAACTGTAGAGAACAAACTGATGGTTACCAGAGGAGAGGTGGGGGGGATGGGTTAAATAGGTGATGGGGATTAAGGAGTGCATTTATGATGAGCACTGAGTAATATACAGAATTGTTGAATCACTATATTGCATACTTGAAACTAATATAAATTCTATGTTAGCTATACTGGAATTAAAATAAAAAAAAAGAAAGGAAAGAAAGAGAAAAGAACAGAAAAAGAGTAAAAACCTTTGAGCAGTAATAAAATCTTAGCAAGAGCAATTAATTAAAAATTGCAGGTAAGTGAACAAATTTGAAATACATACCAATCAGCAGGTCCAGATGATATGCATTCTGGGGTCTTGAGGGAAAATGATTTCACTAAGCCACTGACAACTGGAAAACCTAAGAAAACCCACTTGGGTATGCACCATTTTTTTGCCTTGTCAGCATTCTGTATAATGGAGTTATTCTGGCAGGTGTATTCACTAGGCCCTGTCTGCCCTCCATCTCCCTCCCATCAAGAAAAGAATAGATTCAATTTCTAGGTATAGCTGATATCAGACTTAACAGAATATACTTTTTTTTTTTTAAAGTCCTTTTTATAAATGGATCATCCTCAGCACTGCATGCTGTAATTCAAGCCCCTGGCGTGTAACACATGACAAATGTTGCTCCCAAGGCCTACACAGGGCAGCTGGGCCTATGTGGCCTTCAGCTGCTTGTGCTGAGATTTACTAGTTACAGTGTAGTGGGAGGAATATGGAGAGGAAGCTAGGAGCTTTTCCACAGAAAGGGAGTTTGAGAGCAAGGCAAATTATATCCTGATGTTGTTTTCTCCTCTTGCATGTTCTGAGACTAAAACATGGAGAGGCTGAAGTAGCTGAAGAGATATTGGCTAGAGATGTAAGGTCTTCAGGGATGAATGAAAGTCTCTGATTCCTGCTGCTTCTGGAGACTAAAGGGTTGTGCTGGGTTGATTGCTTGGTCAGACCTAAGGCTTAGGAATCCAAGAGAGAAGTTGGGACCATTCCTTATACAAACCAGGTAGTGTCCCCACAATACATTAATAGGTCACACTCCTGACCCTAGCCATATGCTGTATCCTTATTGACATTCAGTCACTTGAGAAATTACTGGGAACAAGGGTAGATGTTTCTGTGCAATCCCATCCTGGGGAAAAAGAACTCCAAATGCATTTTCTTCATGGACAGCACAGATGTTTTGTGGTGATGAATGATTCTAGGGAATTTTGGATAGGGATTTGGTGTGTTAATATTCTTTTCCTTGATACATTTACATATTCTTAACTAGCTTTTCTCATATTTTAATGAAATCTAGGCCTTTCTCTCAGCTCATTCTGATGTGCTGTTTCAACCTCTTATGTAACTTCATGGACCCATACCAAAAAAAGTGGAAACAAGACCATGTGTCCTTAGATTGTCATATGTCAGAGGTGGTAGGGCATTAATGGAATGATTACTGATCTAGGGGTTGTTTATTATCCTAGGACTATCATTATCTAGCTTGATCATCTTGGGGTCATCCTTTTCCCCTTACTTGTCCTCAGTTTCCTCATGTATAAAGTGTAGGCATTGGATGACATGACCTCTCATATCTATTTCCATTTCTAAAATTCTGTGACTTTTGCATAAGGGATCCTTAATGTATGTGATTCTATCATTTGTTGTGTTGACTCTTTAAGAAAAACACTTTATGTCCATGGTAGATAAGTTTGTCATTTTGCCAAGACATGACACCGAATTTCATAGATGAGGCTGGAGTGTGGGAGAGTTGCTTAGCTAGTGAGTGCATCTAACCAACCACCTAGCACCTTCCTCTAAACAGGGTTTTATTTTTCTCTACTTATTAGATAGTTTCATGAGGGAAATTAGATACAATGGTGAATTTGGTAACATAATCCTTGTTTACATGAAGGGCCTATTAGATGGTATACGTGAGACCAAATGTCACTGCATATGAAGCCAATTTGATCTTATATTCTTTGTACCTCAATTTCCTCATCTGTTAAATATGGATAATAGGGACACCTGGGTAGCTCAGTTGGTTGAGCGCTTGCCTTCGGCTCAGGTCATGATCTCAGAGTCTTGGGATCAAGTCCCACATCAGGCTCCTTGCTCAGCGGGAAGCCTGCTTCTCCCTCTGCCTGCCACTCCATCTGTTACGCTCTCTTTCTCTCACAAATAAATAAATGAAATCTTTAAAAAAATAAATAAATATGGATGCATTGATCAAAGGCTTATTTCTCTCTCATGCAAGGCTGATATGGAGAAGAAAGACAAGGAGACAGCATACCAGTTCTTACGTACTTCAGCCTCTAAATGGCACATTACTTCTGCTCATAGTTCAATTGGTCAGAACCATCCACAAGGTCTACCCTAACTGCAAAGAAGACTGGGAAATGTAACAGAGTAAATGGACTATTTGGTGGGCACCAATAGTCTCTGCCACTCGTCCCTGAGAAGATAAAGGGATTGTTCTTTTCCTCTCATAGCATGCTGGGATATTAACAGTAATGACTACTACTATCGTTTGAGCCAGATAATTTGCTAAGTGTTGTACATAAATTATCTAAATTAATCCTTACAACCCTGTAAAGTAGGAACGATTATAACCATATTTTACAAATGAGAAACTTTGACACAGAGATTAAGAAACTAACTCTGGTGCGGCCCCGCCCCGCCGCGGTAGCGCGCGTTTTCTGCTCTCTGGGGATGGCGGAGGGAGGGTCTGTTCGCTACTTAAACGACACAGAGGCACTTGTGTTCCTTGTTCCTCAGGCCTGGGTGGTCATTTGTTCTAGTCACACAGCTTTTTAGGGTTTAAGAGGTAAACCAAGATTTCATTTTCAAGATGGAAAGCCCATCCGACTCAGCTGTGATTTTACCTAGCACTCCACGGGCCTGCGCCAATCCACCATCTCTCCGTACAAGTAGCACAAGAAAACAACCTATGAGTGCAACACTTAGAGAACGATTAAGGAAAACTAGATCTTCGTTTAATTCCTGTTACAGTGTGGTGAAACGTCTTAAAGTAGAGAATGAAGAAAATGATCAGACTTTTCCTGAGAAACCAGCATCTTCAACAGAAGAAAACTGTTTGGAACTTCAAGAAAATTTTAAAAACATAGATGGTGAATTCAAAGAAAGTACATATTTGAAAAATACCTTCAAGAATATCAGTGCATGTGTATCTAAATCTCTTGATACTGAGTCATGCAGTGATCTCCAAAGTGACTTTGTGAATGAGGATCTTCCCAAACAAGGATTAAGTGAAGAAGGAACAAAATTGGTGAAGCAGATTGAGGAGAAAGAAGACGTTCTTCGGAGGCTAAAACTGGTCAAAATGTATAGATCAAAGAATGACCTGTCTCAGTTACAGGTGTTAATACAGACGTGGAGAAGCTGTAGCCAGCTGTTACTTTATGAGTTGCAGTCAGCTATGTCTGAGGAGAACAACAAACTCAGCCTTACTCAGTTGATAGACCACTGTGGGTTAGATGATAAATTGCTACACTGTAACAGAAATGAAGAAGAATTTATGGGTGTTTAATTCATAATTTTTTCTCCAGAATATTTTTGAGAATGACAACTTAAAAGATAATACATTTTAAAAGGAGGGTAGAAACCATTAGGGCCTGGAGAAAGGTATCTTGATGAACATCAATTTAGGGCACTCTGTTATATAAATATAAAATAAGTTCTAAAATGAAAATTTAGTATTTTGGATAAATTTGCCAAAGAAAACTTGACATTCAAAGAAATGTGAAAAAAATTAAATCATGTTTAAAAAATAATTTGGTCATTTCTGGAAGTCAAATTTAATACATTGTTTTGTTTATTGTGGTAAAAAAGTTCTATTTTTTTAAGGTTTTATTTTAAATGTTAAAAAATAGTTCAGTCTGGTTAATGTCTAAACCTAAAGTGGTCTAAAAATGCCTGCCTCTCTCCTAAGTTTATGAACCGTGTTTTTATCCTTTTACCACATATTTCCTTCTGGATGGTGTAGCAGGTAATTAAACTTGCTCATATGTCCAAAATTAAAAAAAAAAAAAGAAAAGAAACTAGCCCCAAATCACATGGCTAATAAGTATCTGAGCCCAGGTTGAGATAGAAGTACATTTAGAATGTAGCAAATCTCTCGTTCCAGGAAACTAGCTATTTATCCCATTGCTTTTATTTTTTTAAAGATTTTTTATTTTTTAATTTTTTATTTTTTTTGGTTCTAGAAACTGATCACTTAATTTTATTAACATTATAACGGTTTATCCTTACATTTCTTTTTTTTTTATTTTATTATGTTATGTTAATCACCATACATTACATCATCAGTTTTTGATGTAGTGTTCCATGATTCATTTTTTGCGTATAACACCCAGTGCTCCATTCAATACGTGCCCTCTTTAATACCCATCACCAGGCTAACCCATCCCTCCACCCCCCTCCTCTCTAGAATCCTCAGTTTGTTTCTCAGAGTCCATAGTCTCTCATGGTTCGTCTCCCCCTCCGATTTCCCCCCCTTCATTTTTCCCTTCCTACTATCTTCTTCTTTTTAAACATATAATGTATTATTTGTTTCAGAGGTACAGGTCTGTGATTCAACAGTCTATATAAAGACTTTTTATTTATTTTTGTAAGAGAGCGCGAGCGCATGAGCAGGGGGAGGGGCAGAGGGAGAATCAGACTCCCTGCTGAGCAGGGAGCCTGGATGCAGAACTCTATCCCAGGACCCTGGGATCATGACCTGAGCCCAAGCCAGATGTTTAACCGACTGAGCTATCCAGGCGCCCTGTCCCATTGCTTTTAGGTACCTAGGCCTGCTCCTGGATTAGGATTCTTGATAGGATTATATTGCCGGAAGGGGTTGTTTTGAAATTTTTTCAGGGTGTTTTTAGTTGTCACATGTTGGAGGGTGCTATTGACTAAGAGGGAGGGCCAGGGATGTTAGATGTTCTGCAATGAGGACGTTCTCATACAATGAAAAATTGTCCTATTTCTGTCCCACAAGACTTTTGAATGTTGAGGTGTTCAAGGCTTATTTAAAATTACCCAATCTTAGAACCTAAGTCTGTTTTGCTTATAAACACAAAGTATACTTTGCACAATTATTAATATATGCTAAATTTTCTAAGAATGTGGTTATTGAACAAAGATTTTACTTTGATAGAACTTTATTAATAATAATAGCTAAAATATATCCAGCTTACTATGTGCCAAGCACTGTTGCAAGCATGTTATAGATATTAACTTATTTAATCCTCACAATACCCTAAAAAGCACATACTATTATTATTCCCATTTTACAGTTGAAGAGACTGAGGCACAGAGAAGTTAAATAACTTGCTCAAGTCCAGCCACACAGCCTTAGCAAGTTGCATTCACTATTTTGGAAAGTTCTGTTACTGACGGCAATGCTTCTCATGGTGTTTACCTTCATGTTTTAAACATTTCTGGTATTGGGCACCTGGGTCACTCAGTCATTAAGCTTCTGCCTTTGGCTCAGGTCATGGTCCCAGGGTCCTGGGATCGAGCCCCACTCCCTCTCCCACTCCCCCTGCTTGTGTTCCCTCTCTCGCTGTGTCTCTCTGTCAAATAAAATCTTAAAACAAAACAAAACAGAACAAAAAACATTTCTGGTATTCATCACTTTTTTTCATTCATCCAAGTATCTGTCTGGTATCATAGTCCTTTTGCCTGAAGAAATTCCTTTAATATTTCTTGTGCTACAGGTCTGGGGGCAGTGATTTCTCTCAGCTCTTGTCTGAAGATGTCTTTATTTCTTCTTAATTTTTGAGAGATATTTTCACTGGGTATAGGCTTATGAGCTGACATCTTTCTTTCAGTACCTTAAAGATATCACTCCATTATCTTCCGGTTTGCATAGTGCTTATAGTGTTTGAAACACCAATACAACGTTCTCAAATCAATCTGAATATATAGCAGTCACATTCACAGTAGACATCTTTCCCCTTCATTATGTCTCTTAATGTGGTTATATTAAAGCATTTACATATTAAGATATATATTATTTTATTATTAATTACTGTCCCTTTCTTTCTCCCTTATATTACAGTTAAGGCATCACAATTTTTTTTCAAGTTATGTTTATAGGAGACTTATATTACCTATGAATTACATTTTGGAATATTAACGTGAACATTACAAATATTTGTTAGAAAAAAAGGATGTCTAATAACTTGTTGCTGTCTTAGACAAAAAACTATTAACTTGGGAAAGTTGATTTTTAGTTTTCCCTCCCCCATTTGATTTGATCTGTTTCTTGGCTCTTATTATCCCTCATTAATAATGGCCACTTCTGATTTGTATTTTCCTGATAATGAGTGATGCTGAACATCTTTTTCATGTGTCTGTGGGCCGTCTGAGTGTCTTCTTTGGAACAATGTCTATTCATGTCTTCTACCCATTTCTTCCCTGGATTATTTGTTTTTTAGGTGTTGAGTTTTATAAGTTCTTTTTTTTATTTGAGAGAGAGAGAGAGAGAAGGGGGGAGGGGCAGAGAGAGGAGAGAGTCCCAAGCAGATTTCATGGCAAGTGTGGAGCTCGATGCAGGGCTCCATCCCACAACCCTGAGATCATGCATGACCTGAGCCAAAACCAAGAGTCAGATGCTCAACCAACTGCACCACCCAGGCACCGCTATAGGTTCTTTATGTATTTTGGATATTAGCCCTTTATCAGAAATGTCATTTGCAAATATTTTCTCTCATTCAGTAGATTGCCTTTTAGTTTTGTCAATTGTTTCCTTTCCTGTGCAGTAACTTTTTATTTTGATGAAGTCCCAATAGTTTATTTTTGCTTTTGTTTCCCTTGTCTCAAACTATAATGAGATATACCTCACACCAGTCACAATGGCTAAAATTAACACAGGAAACAACAGGTGTTGGCAAGGATTCAGAGAAAGGGGAACCTTCTTACACTGTTGGTGGGAATACAAATGGGTGCAGCCACTCTGGAAAACAATTACAATTTGGAGGTTCCTCAAAAAGTTAAAAATAGAACTACCCTAAATCCAGCAATTGCACTATGAGGTATTTACACAGAGTATACCAAAGTACTAATTTGAAGGGATACAGGCACTCTGATGTTTATAGCAACATTATCAACAATAACCAAATTATGGAAACAGCCCAAGTGTCCATTGACTGATGATCAGATAAAGAAGATATGGTATTTAGGGGCGCCTGGGTGGCTCAGTCGTTAAGCGTCTGCCTTCGGCTCAGGTCATGATCTCAGGGTCCTGGGATCGAGCCCCGCATCGGGCTCCCTGCTCCGCGGGAAGCCTGCTTCTCCTTCTCCCCCTCCCCCTGCTTGTGTTCCCTCTCTCGCTGTGTCTCTCTCTGTCAAATAAATAAATAAATAATCTTAAAAAAAAAAAGAAGATATGGTATTTATATACAATGGAATATTACTCAGCCATAAAAAGAATGAAATTTTGCTATTTGCAATGATGTGGATGGAGCTAGAGAGTATTATGCTAAGCGAAATAAGTCAGTTAGAGAAAGACAAATACCATACGATTTCACTCATATGTGGAATTTAAGAAACTAAACAAACAAACATAGGGGGAAAGAGAGAGGCAAACCAAGAAACAGACTCTTAACTATAGACTCTTAACCAACAAACTGATGGTTACCAGATGGGAGGTGGGTGAGGGGAATGGGTGAAATAGGTGATGGGTATTAAGGAGTGCACTTGTTGTGATGAGCACTGGGTGTTGTATGTTAAGTGTTGAATCACTAAATTCTACACCTGAAACTAATATTACACTGTACATTTATTAACTGGAATTTAAATAAAAACTTAGAAAACGAACAAACAAACAATGGCCACTTCTGGATTGATATTATATTTTCCAAATTTTCTAGTGAACAAACATTACTTTTGTAATCAGGAACTTTAAAAAATGACTTAAAATAAAGAAAAACAAGATAAAAACAAAGAATTTCCCCAAGTCATATTCATAAGGCTTTGTAGGTGACAAATATTTTGGATAATTTATTTTATATGAGGTATTAGGGGTCAATAATGACTTAATGTACCATATTCAATCCTCCCTCCAAACAAACATTTCAAAACATTTGTGAGTGGAAAATGTCTTTGAGTTTTAAGTACCTACTTTGAGAATTTTAGGTACTATAGGGAGATATTCTAAGGTAGGTGATATTTTGGAAGCTCTATAGTTATCTACTGCTGCACAACAGATTTCCCCCAAATTTAGCAACTTAAAACATTAAACACTTACTATCTCACAATATCCAAGGGTCAGAATTCAAGAGTGGCTTAGTTGGGTTGTTCTGACTCTGGATCCCTTTTGAGATTTTAGTCAAGCTGTCATCCAGTGATGCATTCACCTGAAAGTTTGAGGCTAAAGGATATACTTTTAAGCTCACTCCTACGGTTGTTAATAGGAGCCTTCAATTCTTCACCATGTTGGCCTTTCTATAGGGCTGCTCACAACATGGCAACAGGAGAGAGAAAGACAGAGAGAAGTGTTCTGGTAAATTAGAATAGAGGATGGGTAACATGTGATGTGATTTGGGAGTCAGGGGAGGGACAATTTGGTACCTACAGTACAGTGCTTCCTGGAAGGACTCACCTTAGGAAGCAGCATGAGAGAAATGGGGGAGGCGAGCAGTGGGTCATGGAGGGTACCAAATGGGAAGAGAGTTGTGAGTACAGAAAGGTTAGGTGACAGCCAAAGACAACCCAATTCATTTTACAATT